CGGAGCAAAGCAGTGATGGATGGAAGAATTTGCATCCTATTTGGCCAGAGGAATCAATTTTTCCGAATAATCCGCGAGCACTTTGTCGCAAACGCGATCAGCCTCCAGTAGACTGACGCATACCATTTCTGGCGTCCATGTGGAACTTTCAGCGTGTCGGACTGCCCGGATTAAATAACTGACGAGGAAGATTTTGAAAAAAGTGGAAATCATACAGAAAAAGATCGGTTGAGTGCAAACAAAGGCCAAATTTGTTGAGTCCTATTATTCAAAACAATATTCAGATCGAAATATCTGTGACGAAACTAGAAGAACTAATACTGAGATGTACTTGGAACACGCAGTTTTTGTACAATCAAAAGTGATACCCACAGAAGGACAGGGTAGCCAGGAAATAACCGCTTGATCCACTCCTAGCTCGAACACAATCGGTAGTTTAAGTCAATACACCAGGTATTTGATGATGAATGATCTTGGTGTGTAAACAGCTGAAAACCCTTTCGTTAGGATGAATAAAGCGATTTGTGACTTGATTTGACCATCCAGGTAGGCAATCTCCAAGTAGGGTACAAAAAGATAACTTTCTCGCTTTTCTGAACATCAGTCTTCATCGTGCGGATGATGAACGTAGGAAAGAAGAGTATACCGTAAGCGCACCTAAGTGGGGCAGTGCACATTTTCAAAGCTTCGTCCCATGGAGATACGGAATTTATTGAACTATCAGGCTTACAACGCAAAGAGAATTTATAGTCCAGAGATCCTGAATGAAGAGTTAACCCACACAAGAGACATCCTCAAGAGAGGCGGATACCCAGAGACGTTTGTTCATCCTCTAGAATCAAAATCAAAGGATGAAACAACTAGTTAGAAAGGTAGTCGTTAACGTTCTGTTCAAGGGAAATGGCATTAGAAATACTGGAACTGTTTCCAGCGCAGCATTCAAGACTCTCACCGAGGACTAAGCCATGTTCTATGGGTTAAGGATAAATTGCCGCATCAGTTTCAATCCTTTGTTTGCATACCCTTGCCGTGCTTGGTACATCGGGCACAACGAGAATATCTCAACATTGTCCGGCTGCTCATTGAAAAGGAGTTGGGAAGCTTTAGCAGCGCAATACTACCACCTCTGATTGGCGGCGGATACCAGATCGGCCCAGAAACATCATTCACAAGTTTCTTCACAGCATATAAGAACCACATCAAAGGGTTACGCAATAAGATCCTGA